GGCAATTCAGGGAAGATAATTCTATAATTCTATAATTCTATAAGCTATCGCCAATGTTATAGTACATTTATCGACCAAAACATCATAATTCTATGAGCATGGCGTTTTTATTGGTTTATTTATCTGTTGCAAATATGTTTTAGACAATTTAATTTTCTTAGACGTCTCCAGATGATGAATATTGAGCACGCGGTTTTTGCGAAACGGAAGTCCACAAATCAGTTTTGTTCCCAACGACTAGGAAATCGCGTCTTTCAAATCATTAAATTTTATTAAGGATTTCCTGACAGTATGAATTATTACATCAAGTAAAAGTGTTTGTTAAGAGCTAGAAGTTTTAAAGATGTTCCTGATAAATTAGGGTTCCTCTTACCAAAGTAGAAACAAATCCTGAATTATTTTCAGTCGTACGTTGGCCACGTGTCTTTAGGGAAAGAATCATTGTCTGTTTAAGGGAGGATATTGTTCAGCCGGTTTCATGATAAGCATTGTTTTATCAAAGATTACGGTAGCTTAATCACATTGACTGCCAACTACTTCCTTTTTTTAAAAGAACTATATATCGTACCTACGCGCAGAGTGGGAAGAAGGTTGGAGTTATTGTGTATGAAACCTTTAATAGCCATTTGGGTTTAATTCACTCTTCTTACCAAGGATTTGGAATTAATCATTACCTTCCCTAGAAATTGAACATATTGTGAATTGGCTCGATCACTATGATAGTAGGCTAAAAAAGAGTTTTTGGAGGATCGAAAATCCCTTACAAAAGTAGTTTGGAGCCCAGAAAATTTTGAATCGTCCACCGTCTTCGAAATAAATCTTTCCCTGCTTTGTTTCCGACGATCAAATCAACTTCGATCATAGATTTGGTGGTTTTTTTTTACTTTTCAATTATTAAAATACGAACGTCCCAGAAAAATCTCCCTGGTTTGCCTATTTCCAGTTGACAAAGGCCGGTTCTCCAGCTTATTAATAAATCATAAGCTAGAACTTCAAACAACTCGTGGGTGATATGTCCGTTATTTTAATTAAAAAGTGTTTAAAAAAAAGACACTAAGAGATTAATTTTTATCATGTATTTTTCTCAGATAAATATACATGCTTATGAATTTGATTCTCAAAAGTCTTTAAAACGTTGTCGTCCTCGATACTTCAAATTTATATGGATACATCATAATACTTTGCGCTAAATTTTTTATTGTTCAATCAAAGCGACATTTCTAATTTACACCTGTAAATCGTGTTCTCTTTCCCATATTCTTAACTGTAAACTCTTTCCTTTCTTTCCCCATTGTTCTTGAACGAATCAGTAGACAAAGGTTTCCTTGAAGACTGTCAAATGAAAACGGATATCATAAAGGCCGATAAAATCGTCTGAAAATTGTCTTTATGATCTGATGTCATAAATAGCAAATGCAACTGAGAATTTTTCATTGAAGAGTTGCCTTAGATTCTTGTTGTTTAGGTTTAAAATGCCGAGATTAATAAATGATAATAATTATTTCAAGATTATTTCAAGTTGTAGCAATCCTAGGCTTGGTTGTCTTTTTTTGGACGTTTGTAGCGAACGTAGATGAAGAGAAATTTGTCTCTCATAAGTTTCGAAACAAAGGAGTCAAAATGTTACAGCATAGACCATGGTATTCTGGTAAACGTAGTGATAATATTTTCTTTGACAAGGTAAGATCTTCAGTCAGAATTTACAAAGATCATTGTTTTAAAGTCAAAAACGACTGACTTACTGAACATTGCCCATAATAACTCTCTAAACATCCGTTTGTTTCGAGTAAGGCGATCACTCTATTCTGTTCACAAGCTATTGAAGCACACTAATACAGTTTTTTTCGTCTTGTAAGCCACTTCTCTGAAAACGAAACTTGGCCAAAAATGTGGGTAAGATGGGCTTTGAAATAAGATCTCTATTTATTTTCATTTCAGTCATAATTCTAATGCTATTGATAACTTTCAAGGCCAGCTCATTTTGTTAGAAGAATGTCTTTACTAAATTAAGTAAGCTAAGCTCTTCTAGGCGTCTATAAAGTGGACCGCCAGAATGGACGAAAACATTTATTGACTCACTTAAATTCTTTCTTATCTCTTCACTTTTTAACTTTCAAATGCACAATACTCCAGTTGGAAATGATTACAAAGACAGCATTAAACATTATAAGAGATAATTTCTTTGATAACGTGGACAATTTGTTTTTGAGAGCCGGATTTTCAGCATCCACTCTGTCATATCACTGACACCTGTAGTTCGCATTCGCAAGGATTTTTATTAATTTTCTTTGTTATTTTGAGTAATTGCTTTCCCATTGAAACATGATCTTTTGTTATATAGCCGGATGTTCAATGGACAGAAGTTGATATTTAACAATATTTTGCGTAATCGCGTTGGATATGAGATGGCAAATAACTAACGAGGCGCGAGGCGCCGAGTTGGCTCTATTCAATCTCGAATCTAATAAGCGCGAATGGAATAACTTTCATTAAATCCTGAAAGTTTGGATGATCGGAGCTTTTTTTCAGCAACCGCAACAGTTGGCGTAATGCATTTCTATGTAAGGTGACTCGCAACATGAGCTGATAACCCGA